TGCAGGAAATTGGGCGACACAGCTACTGAGAAAAACTAAGCGACCCAAGTACTAACAAAAACTGGGCAGCGCGACTGGCACGACTACAGGGAGTTAGACAATGTAACTGCTGATGCCTAGGCTTTGCAGCTGCTGAGCTGGGTCGCATCGCTACTGAGGGTCAGGTTGCGCAACCACTGAGAGCCAGGTAGCTTGACTGCTGAGGACTGAGCAGCGAGGCTAGCGAGAGTCGGTCAACATGAATGGTGAGGGGTGAGTAGCAAGACTGTCTGCAGCTGGTCAACACGGTTGCTGATAGTTGAGCAACGCGGTTGCCGAGGGTTGTTTCGAAATATTTCACTGGTAATAGGAGCTACTACTCTGTCTCTCCCTTTTTTTTTTTAAAACATCGAGTTGGTTTGACTGCAATGCAACTTCTGAAAGTATATTTATTGAACGGAGTTTGCGGCACGCAACTATTGAATTTCTGATTTTTGTCTTGTAAAGATGGCTCATGTTACTTGTTGACGTAGCCAAATATGATCAAATACCAATATAATATGAGCTAAGATGTATTTTGCAGCCCAATAGCTTGGGAGAAAACATCTTTAAGAAACCCACTATAGAATTATTACCCAACTTTCTTGTATGAGAAATGCCCAACAATGTGAAGAAGCCCAAATGGGAGATGCCCGAAATAAAATGGCAACCCATTTTCGAAATGGCAAAAGCCCAAGATGAGGATTATTAGAATCACTCGTGATTATCAGCCCAATATTAATTTTCTTGCATGAACTATATACACAAATGGGTATCACCGCCTTCTCTTCTCTCTCTCTCTCCCTTTTTTTTAAAACTAAGTGGTACGGACTGCAACGCATATTCCCAAACATATTTCGTTGAGCGAAATCGTAATATTTAATCGTTGAACAGTTGATTGTCTAATTTATTCTTGCAAAAGTCAGGTCATTTGAGTCTTGAACCAGCCCAATAAAACATTATGAATTACAGTCGTGTTTGTGACAAGGGAGCCCAGTTGAGATAAGTTAATCCATTGCGAGTTGTGAGCCCATTAACAATTTGTTAGCCAAAGTCATTTTCACTGTGAAAATGAGATTTAACTTGCAAGCCTTTTAGGGTAGACGTAGAGCCCATTACACTTTCTCATTTGCCGAAAACAACAAAGAATTTCCCGGTTGTTCCTTTTACGATCCGTCACCGGAGATGTCAACTGAAGATCGATGACCGGTGGTCTGATGGCATCGTCCCTACAATTTTTCGCCGGAGTTCATATTCTGTGCGAGAGATCAGAGCAATGGGTTTATCGGTTGTGCTGCTCTGCTGGGATTGTCAATCTGTTAAGTGACGGTTGTTGTTGTTTGAACTTAGCAGGCGGATCTATGTCGACGAAGATCGTCGACTGGTGGTGCTCGGGTTCTGTTTGGTCCTCATTTGCCGATGGCTTACGGCTGAAGCTTGCCAGGTGGTGACGATGGCAGTTGATGGGTATCGCGTTGGGATGTTGTTACAGATGGCGTTGAACGGCGGCGGGGAGTGGATCGAAACCCTGGCCCATCCGACGGCGCTGGTCTGTTGGATGGTTGGCGGTTATATAGCTTCATTTACCGGCGATAAATTGAGAGACTGATATCGGTGGTAGTTCAGAGGTTGACTGGGGATGTCGATTCAAGAAGGCGGAGGTTGTGGTCTGCTGATGACGCCGACTTGGAGGGTCGGCAGCTCTTGGCCTCGATGGTGGGCGTGAAGACCAATGCCGGAGCATCTTAGGGACCAGCCGGAGACAACTGGTGGTGCTCAGATTCGGTATCGTCAACGGGACGAGGCAGCAGTTGCAAGTGGCGACAATGGTAGGGCTTTGGCTGTTGTTTCCGGTGGTCGACGAGTGGTGGTTGATGTGGTTTGGGCGGTCGCTAACGATAGAGTAACGACAGTCGACCGGTGAGGTTTCTATAGCTGTCGTCGATTGATCTAATTGGAAAGGACGAAGGTCGCTTTCGAGAATGGGGATGCCGAAGGTGGTCGACAGTAGTGATCAGGTTCTACTCGCTGGAGCAAGAAACGACTGGTAGCAGAGCAGCGGTGGTCTCGTTGGCAACCGGTGATTCCCGGGTTTGGACCACCGATGGAGTTAGTCCTGGACTGGTGGGGCCTATTTTTGTCGTTTGGTAGCTTTTGTTTCCTTGAATTTTGTGGTGTAGACTATACACCCATGCCTCCTCTTTTCTTTTTTTTGTCGTGTGTAGGGTTAGGGATGAAGCTCATTGTTGTAATATTTTGTACAATTTACTGTAAATATGAGGTGTAAAATTTTCTCTGTTTGTGTGTGCAGTTGCGTTTGTATACATCTTATCACTTCTTTGTGTAGAATTCACTTTCTGTCTTTTTTTTCTCTCTTTTTTTAAAAGGTAACACAAAACAATACTGTTTTTTCTCTTTTTTTTTTTTTTTTGTTATGAACTAATTTTTTGACATGATGAACTGCAACATTAACAATAAATTGGAATGGTTGGGATGTCACAAAACACAGCAAATGTTTGCAACATTAACAATAAATTGGAATGGTTGGGATGTCACAAAACACAGCATGGAAAGTCAACTTTTTTTTGGTAATATAAACTTACAGTGAGGTAAAAACTCATCAAATATTTTCTTCCTTCATTTTGCTGAATAAATCATCTAAATAAAATAAAAGTCATAAACACTGCTTCTCTTCTCAACTCTCTTAGTAAGTTATCAAATAGAATGACATAACTTCTCTAAGATGAAAATGAGTTTTTTTTTTAAAGTTTGAGAAGGTAAAAAATTCATAGGAGCTTATTTCTTTCTTCAAGTTTCTAAACAACTTGAGTAAACTTGTATAGAGAATATCATAAGCTAAATGATATTTTCTGAGAAATTCATGCACTGAAAGTGGGTTAAGACCCATCAAAACTTCTCCTCCCTTCTTTTTTTTTATATTGAAGGTTCTGTAGGATATACAAGCCATATGGCTGTGTGTACAAATAGTTGTTGCAGTGGGAGTGAAGATGCTCACAGAAAATCTTTACTAAAAACGATTTTCTGATAATATATGGATTGAAATGGGATAAAAATTCATAAAAATTTCTTTTCTGTTCAACTTTCTGGAAAGACATCAAAACATAAACAAAAACGAATCTGAAAGAGTTTTTTTTTTTTATAAACTCTCTTTTCTTCTAAATTGCTGAGAAAACCCCATATCATAAATAGAAAATGGATCTGATGGAGTGTTGTTCATGAAACTTCATTTTCTTTTCAGCTTGCTCAACAAGCTATGAAGATATGAACAAGGAACAGATCTGGAAAAATTTTAATTTTCTATCTCTAAGCTTTTAGAAAAAACACTAATTAGACAACTCCATAAGAGCTTTACAAAGAAAATCATAAACTGAAGGTGGTTTCTTTGTAACATAAACTGAAAATAAGGTAAAAAATCACGAAAAATTTCTTCTCCTCTCAAGTTGCCTGAGATGAACACCCAAAATAAAAACGAAAATGGGTTTAAGAACTCATAAGAGTTTCTTTCTTCGTGACTTGCTGAAGAACACATCAAAACATAAACGAAAATAAGATCTGATAAAGTCTTTTAAGACTTGAGAGTTGCTCAAATGAACTAAAACCAAGCATATTTAGACATCTGAACAACAAACAAAGTAGATCTAACGATCTGAACAAAAAACTCAACAGATCTTGAGATCTGAACGAAAAACTAAGCAAATCAATAGATCTGAACGAAAAACTCATAAAAATTTCTTTTATCTTCATCCTACTCAAGAAACCCCAAGAATATGAACCAAAAAACGATTCTAAGAAGATTTTTGCAAACTCGGGGAGTGTTTGAGTGAAGGAAATCATATAGATCCATAGATCTGGACTAAAAAAAACGTGATAGATCTACAGATCTAAAAGATGGTGAAGCAAATTTGAACAGATCTTGGCAAAAATAAACAGATTTGAACAAATGATACTAGAAATTAACAGATCTGAAGAAACATGAGATGAAAACCCATCAAATCTGAACAGATGTGAGGATGAGCGAGCTTGAAACCAACTGAGGCTTTTGCTACATGCTCGAATCCGGGATGGCGCCAAATGATGTAACATTGATATTGGAGTTTATTTAACCTTATAATGAGCTAAATCTGGAGATTTTGTTTCAATTCACGTTATGAAATGCTATAGCAAATAAAAGTATAAAATCACTTTTCAAGACTACATCGCTTCCATGTAAGCACATTTTTATCACATTATATCTATGTTAAGCTAGTTTAAATTTATTTTTTAAAAATTCTATATTGTTTTTTATTTATATTTATTTTTACAGTTTTTTAATTTATATTCACATACCTTAAGTTTCTTTTAAAAACCATCAGAGCAATAAATAACAAAATAAAAGCCAATAAAATGGACATACATGCATAGGGCTGTAAACGAACTAAACGAACACGAACAGAGCTTGTTCATGTTCGTTCGTTTAAGTTAACCGAACAAATAAACGAACATGAACGGTTAAACGAACAAGTTTTCTTATTCATGTTCGTTCGTTTAACAAATTACATTGTTCATGTTCGTTCGTTTATGTTCGTGAACATGCTAAACGAACATAAACAAACGAACATAAACAAACATATATGAACATAAATGAACAATAATATAGTAATGTAATCAAACACAATTAAACATATATGAAGATAAAAGGAACTTATATGAACAAACATGAACAAACGTAAACGAAGAACATAAACGAACGTTCACGAACATAATTGAACGAACGAGACCATTTTTCATGTTCGTTCGTTTAACTAAACGAACGAGAATTTGTGTTCATGTTCGTTCGTTTATTAAATAAACGAACTTTCCGCCGAACGGTTCACAAATAGTTCGTTGAACATTCAGTTCGTTTACAGCCCTATACATGCATATACAGCAATAACAAAAACACTAACACCAAAGTGTGAGACTTATTATACTTAATTTCGTTTGATTCCTATGGTTTATTATTGCAGATAAATCCGATTGCAAATGTAGACAAGAAACAGAATGTTGATCTTGCCAATGCAAATGTACAATAAAAATTGCACAAAGTACAACTTCACAAATCACAACCCTCTTACACATCTCAACCTATAAATACAAGTATGAACCCCAAATCATCCTTCATTCGCCATACTCCAAAACACTTGAATCAACCAATTTTATATTTTTAACCATTTTTATAATTTCTTGAAATAATGAAGAGAATTCAAGATTTATTGGTTTACTATGAATTTGTTGTGTAAACCAAGAAAGATTTGGTGTTTGTGTAACTTGATGCTAATAACTTCCCAGCATTTGTTGGCTAAGAGAATGCTAACTCAGAATGTTCTAGAATCACATCCGAACTAAAACTTTTCCTACAATCATATGAAAAAAGAAAAGTTTAAAACTTTAAAGGCATAAGTGTGTGTGTGTGTGTGAAGGGGTAAGGGTACCTTATGGACTCGAGTAAATGAGTGGCAATGTGTTTTCTTCTGTTGGAGGGTGTGACCCAAATTGCACGGATTCCACAAACAGCAGGGATTGAGTCTTTTTCACAAATGATGGCTCCAAGAAGAATGTCATTTGAATTTCTTTGATTTTATCTTTTTTATGATTTCTCTTTGGAAACTGTAGAGTGGTTGGAGTTGACTTTTTGACCTCCATTAGAGTGGTGGTGACATCATGGTTTTGGTCTGAGTTTGAAACTAATGGATACGCTTTGTTTATTGGCTCTGCAACTAGACATCCAGCAACCCGTTGGGAGGAGATATAAAGATAAACCTAAGCATGAAAATTGAAAGATTAGTTACAAAATGGGACAAAAAATCAAGAAAATATTAAAGGGATTTGTGAAAAATAGTCACCTTACAGTGTTTATGGAAGATCCATCCATCACCAAGTTCCATCTCCATCATCTTTATAACCTCCTCAACCTGTAATTACAAGATTTTATTAAGCAAGAAATTGATTATTTAAAAGATGTTGAATGTACCTTTTTTATATGAGCAGGAGGATCATCATTAAGGACCAAAATAATACGTCCATGTTCTAATGAGTGTGTATCTATAACTCTTTCATTACACCAGCCCTTAAGTGTAAAATCAATGAAGAATGAATGAGTAGAAGAAAATTTTGGAAACTAACATTAATGAAATAGTAAACATCAAAGATATAAGGATAAAGAATCTACCTTGAATTGGATACCATGAGTGTAGCTTTTGTGAAATTCTTTGTGAACCTTTGTATCTTCTTCATCTCTAGGAGCAAACTTGAATCCACAAGTTTTACAAGTGTGTAATAGAAAATCGGATTGACCTAGATCCAAATGAAACTGTGCATACTTCCTTTTCTTGTTTAAAACCTTTTTGGAATTTGTGGAAACTAACTGTTGTCCAAAATTAAGTTTGTTTGGATCATTTTCTTTGAAAAGATCATCATTAGCTCTGCGTATCCAAAACCAAAAGTCAACTTTAGTCAGGTAACTTCTTGTATGGTAAAAACGGAACAAAATGCTACTCAAGGAATATACCTATCTGCGTTTGGAGCTCGTCGAGTGTATATAATGGGAATTTCGGGTTCTCTGGTGAAGTCTTCATCATCGGACAAGTTATCCGAAAGGGGAAGAGGTGGATTTAGGGCTTGGCTTCGTGATGTGGAAGAACAAGAAGGTCTGAAGAATGAATTTATTTTCGATTGCATTGATTGTTGTTGCTGTGAATAACAACTTAAGCTGAAGAATGACTTCCTAAATTACATTCAACATATCATATAAGCATCAACAGCATTGCAGGTATCATAACTGAACATAGTATGGGCAGCCTATCACAAAATTGAACATAATTGAACCAAAATCAGATTCACAAAAACAAAGCAAATTCACATTCACAGAAACCAAAATCAGATTCACATTCACAGAAACTAAAGAACCAAATCTGATGCATCAATTCACTTTCATGTGCACTAATCAAAGTGGGTGTCCAGATTTTAACACTGATCAAACTAGAGAACCAAATCAGATTCATAAGGTAGTTCCAGCGATAAGAAGAAAGAATAATAGCAATAATACAGATTCCGTATATCTCTTATCTTGTAGATAAGAACAGATTCCATATGGAAAATTGAAGAAACACAAAACCAGCGATAAGAAGAAAGAGCGAACAGCACAAAAAAAATTAAAAAGAAAAAGAAAAAAAAAAGATAGAACGAATGCAGGAAGGGAGGGGGTGTTTGGCTTATCTTTGAGAGTCAAAAGTTCTTTTTGAAAAAGATAAAATGCAAAAGATGTTTGGTAAAAGTATTTTAAAAGCAACTTTTGGATTTTTTATACAAGGAAAACTGATTTTTTGGAAAAGTCAGGAAATCCTAACTTTTTGTAACTTTTGCCAAAAGGACTTTTGCCTCCCAAAAAGATTAGCCAAACACCCCCGAAGAAACGAACCTGTAGCTATGGGGTCGAAAGTCGAAGGTCTCCGGTAACTGTGGGGTGCGGCGCTCCGGCCGGTTACTTCATAGGAGAGAAGCAGCACAAATGAGGCATCTTTTGTTGTGTCGCTGTTTGGAATGCAAAACTGTGAGGTCATCTTTTGGCGCCGATGCTATGAAATTTGAGTTTCATTTTAATAGATTTTGATTTCCCGCCGGGGCAAATAAACCCTAGTTAAAGCCTTAAAATTATTATTTTAAATAAAAATCTTTTTTTGCTATATATCATAGTATTTTTATCATTTTATAGTTATTTTAAATTAAATTATTTTTCACATATTATTTTATGGATTTTTTTTATTTTTCACATATCATTGACCTTTGCCCCCTCGGGGAAACTGTTTTTTTACGGAAAGCGTTAGCAACATTTGCTAACCATCGTCTGCTCGCTATCGGGTCCTTCTCCCCGAAGTAGTATGGAGCCCCACGTACCCGGAACTCCATGAAGGTCATAGAATGTGCTCCTACCAAGGCCACTATCTCATAACGAAATGAGCTGTAACATCCTGTTTAATAAATAAATAAATATATGAAATTTGATGAACGAATAGTCGCAATAAATTCATATTATTTAGGGGATTCTTGGTTTTGGGAAGCCAAATGTTATAAATCGAATCATTCGAGGGTTAAAAAGTAATTTTGGGATGTAGTTTGAAAAGATTATGGAGGCTAAGGGGCTATTTGGTAAGTATTAGACTTATTATGTAAGGATTTTTGGAGGTAGGGGCTGATTGGTAACATTTCGGACTAGTTTTGTAAAGATTTTGGAAGATGGAGGGGTTGTTTAGTAAAATTCGGATTTATTTTGTAAAGGATTCAAGGGGTAGGGTTTAAACGGTAATTTGCAGACTTATATTGAAATGATTTCTGGTTGGAGGGACCAGTTCTGCCATTATGGCAATATGTTTGTGTGACCGGGTATATATATATATATATATATATATATATATATATATATATATATATATATATATATATATATATATATATATATTACGAAACCCTAAACCTAAGGAAAAAGGTTAGCCGACATGTCACACCCCCGAACCAGACGACGGAAACGTCCGGGGGCTCGTGTGACTAACAATTGAATAATCATCACAATGAATATACATGAATCATAACACGATCATCGCCAACATTACATAATACAACTAGCATTGTTTACATCAAGTACTTTGTTAAAATGCATAAGTTCAAATTGTTAAAAGTACGATAAGTGTTGTTACATAAAACAAAACCTACACACTTGCATATCTTCCAGCTTAACGATTACCTGAGAATACAAGTTATTTTGAAAACGGTCAACATATATAATATTGGTGATTTCATAAGTATGTTGTTTGAGTAAAAGTCTTTGTATATTTCATAAAAACCCAGAAAATCCGATATTTTCTGTAAAATGTCTGAAAATGTAGTGAAAATCAAGTATAAATGCATGTGTGAATTTCATAGTTATAGCTTATAAAAGAGTAGTTTAGTTTCATTGTATTGTGAATAAATAATAAATGTATATGAATAATTTCCCCAGAAAATCCGATATTTTCTGTTTTATAACAATGTCTAGATTCTTGTATCGTTAAATAAGTTGTTTTGCATTGACACAATCGAAGAGTTTATCTTCGAAAGTTTACTTTTGGTATTGAATCCCTATATGAGCCGTTATAACCATGCATGATAATGACTAGGTCGCCCGTCTTGGTATTTTTCCAAATGTCGGTCTTGCTAAGGATGTTGTCGCCCTAGACTGGCCTAGTCTAGCTGTAGCGAACAGCTAAGGTGTGGGGGGTCACCCCGTATAGATCTATACACAAACTCCCGCTTTCCTACCAGGAAACTCTGATTATAACTACAGGCTACGATTGTACACTCAGAGGTGCCAACCGACATGTCTCGCTAAATTCTCAACCCCTTTTTGTATTATGTTTAATGTTTATGTATAAGTGGTATGTTTTTGTATTCGAAAGGTACATATATAGGTATACGACATTTAATGATTACACAAAGGATTAGTTACGGCATACTAACATGTGAAGTTTCCATTCCAAGCCCTATTAGCATGTAATTAGACCACAAAGGCCCAATAACATTAAAAAGAGTAATTTAGGCCCAATAGGCATGTAAATGGGCCATAAAAGCCCAATAAACATGTAATCCATAACTTAAGCCCAAATTAACATGTAAGTGGGTCGCACGACCCAATAAACATGTCATGGAAAACATTGGGCTCAATATACACTTAATTGGTCCCTTAGGGCCCAATGGCCAAGAAATGTGAATATTAGGCCCCAATAAATAGTTATCGGCGTATTTTGTTCGTTTGTTTTGTTCCGTTGTTTGTTTTAGCTCAAGGATTACTAGATGGATGATAAGAAGCTTTCTTTTGTAAAAATGACATTTTTGGCCAATAAACCTCAAATTTTTAGTTAAGGCCCAAAGTTTTGTAAAAATGACACTTTAGTCCATAATTTATAAAAATTTGTAATTTTGTCCCAAATGTTTGGAATTTCACAGATTTAGCCCAAAAAGTTATATTTTCACATTTAGAACCTTGTTTTTCAGAAAAGTACATTTTCAGCCCTTGGTTGTAAAAATTTACACTTTCGGCCCAATTTTGGAAAATTTTACATTTTTGGTCCAATTTGAAAATAAATGTTATTTTCACCCCTAAATTTGGTTTGTTTACATTTATGACTCAAACTTTGGCCAAATTACATTTTTAAACCTCAAAACTTCATTTTTTTCGCAAATTGGGCCCAAAGGCCGTGAGGCCCAAAAGTGTTGGCCCAATAAGCTTAAAATTGCATTTTTGGCCCTTTTTAAAGTATGTTTAACATAAAAATACCTTTTTATATATGTAGGACCGGTTTGGCCCTTATAAAAACATAAATGCCACTTTTTGCCCTTATCTTTTGTTTTCTTGACAATTTTGTCCTTTAACAAGGTTTTTGTTGAAATCTTTTGTATCTAAAACTTGTAATCACTTTTGGCATGATAATATGATGGGTATAATGTCACAGTTCATAGATCTTTGCTAATAATACTTAGAATTTCGAGATTTGTTAAGACCTAACACATTTTTACTAAATAAGTTAAGTATTCACACAAAACATGCATATAACACATAGATCTACACATTTTACTTGCATTCTCCCCCAAAAATCATATGAAAACCGAAAACAAGGGGGTATGAACTCACCTTTGCTTGATGTTTCGGTTTTTGAAGAAGAAGTGGAAAGAGATGAAGTGTTTTCGGCCCTAGCAACTTTCTTGAGTGGATCTCGAACTTAAGAAGTTTTCTAGGAGTATGATCACCAAAATCTTGTTTAGAAGGAGTGATCTAACATGAGAAAGAAGTTATGTAACTTGGATATGTAAAGACTTACCAAGAATGATGATTTTTGGTGGTGGAAACCTTCTTGAAGATGCTCTAGATCTCGAAAATTAGAGAGGAAATGAGGAGTGTTCTTGTGAATGTTGGAGAGAAATTTGAAATTAGAGTGTGTGTATGTGTATCTTCAGCCGAGAGTAGAATAAGAGAGGGGGGAGAGAGAGGTGAGGTGACTAGCATGGATATATGGTGGTCCTTGCATGGATACATGATGTATAAAATGGAGGTGGCATCCCCAAGTCAACCCCCCCCCATTACACTTCTTTTCTCTTTTTTTTTTTGTTCTACACATGGGCCGAGATTTTTGGGCCAAGAAGAAAGGGTGGAGTAGTTTTGGTCCCATTAACTTTAGTTAGGATATTTGGTTTCTAAACATAACTTTTTCGGCCCATTGGGCCTTTGGAAGCATTCACGGCCCAAATAGAATAAAAGAATGGGCTTATGGCTCACTAAGGTTAATTGGATTAGTTATGGCCCATTAGGGTTAGAATGAATCATTCTAGGCCCAAATGGTCCAAAATGTTTTATATTTATGAATTGGGTCCAATTAGGGCTTCTAATTCCAATAAAGTTGAATTGGGTGCTTATTGGTCCATTAGGCCCAATAAAGAACTCCTAGTCCAATATGGACTTAAACCATGGATCTTTGGGCTTCAGACTCTTTGATGAACATGAATGGTGAATCTAAATGAGCATTGAGTGAGATTTACTTAGAGTATATGTTTTACAATAGTTGAATGGTTACACGGGAATAGAATTTCCTAGCTAAAATGTCAGTTGTGACATCATCCCCCCGTTAGAGGGAATTTCGTCCCGAAATTCTTTTGAAAACTAGGATCGTGAAGGAAGGATTAAGTGAGGGTACTTTTGCTTCATCTGGTCTTCACGTTCCCACGTGAATTTCGGTCCGTGTTTTGCGCTCCATCGAACCTTCACGATCGGTATGTGACTTTGCTTTGTACGCTTCACCTCCCTGTCCATAATCTTTATCTCTTCCAAAGGAATGACAAGAGTTTCATCTGATAGACACTTTTTCATATTCGAAACGTGGAACACTGGGTGCACGTTGCTGGGCTCGACGGGTAGCTGCAGCTTGTAAGCCACTAGACCAATCCGGGCAAGAATCTCGAACGGTCCAATATACCGCGGGTTCAATTTTCCTCTTTTCCCAAATCGAATCATTCCTTTCCATGGAGAGACCTTTAACAACACGCGATCCCCGACTTGAAATTCTAGT